GGGCTACAAAAATGTGCATACCCTTTGATCCAGCAATAGCACTTCTAGGGCTATATCCCAAAGAGATAAAACAAATGGGAAAAGGACCTGCAGGTACAAAAATATTCATAGCAGCTCTTTTTGTGGTGGCAAAGAATTGGAAATTGAGAGGATGCCCATCCATTGGGGAATGGCTGAGCAAGTTGTGGTATATGAATGTAATGGAATACTATTGTGCTATAAGAAATGATGAACAGGCTGACTTCAGAAAAACCTGGAAAGACTTATATGGTCTGATGCTGAGTGAAGTGAGCAGAACCAAGAGGACTTTGTACACAATAACAGCCATGTTATGCAATGACTAAGATTGTTAAACTGAACCTTCTCAGCATTACAGGATCTAAGACATCTCCAGAGGCCTCGGATGGAAAATGCTGTCCACATCCAAAGAAAGAACTATGGAAGTCGAATCGCTCACTTATTTTTACCTTCTGTTTAGTTTTGTTTCATCTTTCTGATGGTTCCTCCTATTGGTTTTAATTTTTACTTACAACTTCACTAATGTGAAAATATGTTTAATGGGTATGTAAATGTAAAGCCTATATCAGATTGTGTGCCATCTTGGGGAGGGTGGGGGGAGGAAGGGGGAGAAATGTTTTCCAACTCAAAAGCATATGGAAGTGATTGTTGATGAATCAAAATAAATTAATAATAATAAAAATAGAAACATGTTAGAAGCAGAGAGGTACACACAGGGTAAAGGTAACAGCCTGGAACAGAGTATATGATCCTTAAGTTAAAGTAGAAAAGAAAACAAAACAGGGGCAGCAGTCTTGATAAAAAACAAACAAATAAAAAAAAGCAAAAATGAGTCTAATGAAAAGACATAAAGATGGAAACTACATCTTGCTAAAAGGTTCTATTTGCAAAAAAGTAATATCATTACTAAACATGTATGTGCCGAGTGGATTCATATCCAGATTCTTAGAGGTAAAGTTAAATTAATTACAATAAGAAATAGAAAGCAAAACTCTCCTAGTGGGGGACCTCAGCCTCTCCCTCTCAGAACTAGATAAATCTAACTACAAAATAAACAAGAAAAAAATTAAGGAGGTGAATAGAATTTTAGAACAGTTAGGTATGATAGCTCTCTGGACAAAACTGAATTGGGATAGAAAGGATATATTTTTTTCTTGTTGGTACATGCCATCTACATAAAAAATGGACCATTTGATATAGCATTAAAACCTCACAATCAAATGCAGAAATATTAAATACATGTTTTTCAGGTCATGATGCAATAAAACTACATGTAATAAATGGACATAGAAAGTTAGATTAAAAATTTATTGGAAACTAAAAAATCTAATTGTATGAGTGGGTCAAAAAACAAATCACAATAACAAGAATTTCATCAAAGAGAATGGAAATAATGAGAAAATATTCTAACATGTATAGGATAGTCAAAGCAGAAGTTGGATGAAATTTATATCTCTAAATGCTTACATGAATAAAATAGAGAAAGTGGGGCATGCAACTAGAAAATGTAGGAAAAAAAACAAATTAAAATTCCCCAATTAAGTGCCAAATGAGAAATTCCAAAAATGGAAAGAGAGATTAATAAAATTGAAGGTAAGACAACTATTGAACTAAAAAATAAAACTAAGAGCTGATTTTATGAAAAAAAACAGGTAAAAGAGATAAACCTTTGATTACTTTGATTTAAAAAAGGGAGAAAGTCTAATTACCAGTATCAAAAATGAAAAGGGTGAATTCATGACCAATGAAGAGAAAATTGTAGAAATGATTAGGAGCTAATTTTCCAAACTCTATGGCAATAAATCTGACAATCTAAGTGAAATGGATGAATATTAAGAAAAACAGAAAATGTTCGAAAAAGGAAATAAAACACATAGCACCATTTTAGAAAAAGAAATTGAAGAAGCCATCAGTTAGCTCCCTAAGAAAAAATATTCAGTGCCAGATAGATTTATGAGTGAATCATACCAAACACTTAACAAAAAATTAACCTCACACCTATCAGACTATCTAATATGAGAGAAATGCAAAATGAAATGTTGGATAGGTTGTGGGAAAATTGGGGCATTAATGCACTGTTGGTGGAGTTATGTACTGATCTGTGGGACTATGCCCAAAAGGCACCTAAATTGTGCATATCCTTTGAACTTGCAATACTACTACTAGGTCTGTACTCCAAAGGAAATAGGGCCCACGTGTGCAAAAATATTTATAACAGCCCTTTTTGTAGTAGCAAAATTTTGGAAATTCAGGGGATGCCCATCAATTGGGAAATGGCTGAAGAAAGAGTGGTATGTGAAGGTAATGGAATTCTACTGTGCAATAAGAAATGATGAACAGTTAGATTTCTGAAAAACCTGGAAAAAATTTGCATGAACTAATGCACAGTGAAATGAGCAGAACCAGGAAAACACTGTACACAGTATCAGGAACATTGTGTGATGATCAGCTATGAATGACTCAGCTCTTCTCAGCCACACACAATGTTCCAAGACAAGTACAAAGGACTCATTAAAGAAAATGCTATCCACATCCAGATAAGGAACCAATGGCCTCTGAATGCAGATTGAAGCATATTTTTTTCACTTACTTTATTTTTTCTCATGGTTTTTTTCCCTTTTGATCTGTTTATTCTTTCACAACTGTGACTAACATGGAAATATTTTTATATGATAGCACATATATAAAGTATTTCAAACTGCATACCATTTTTCCGAAGAGGGGTAGGAAGGGTGAACAATTAGGAACTCAAAATGTTATAAAAATGAATACTAAAATTTTTGTTGACATGGAACAAGGGAAAACAATAACACACTACTAAACTTAAAAAACAAAACCAAAAAGAACAACTAATTCCAATACTATATAAAGTATTTGGAAAACTAGGCAAAGAAGGCAAAATAGGCAAAGTCAATGCACAAGTTTGGTGCTAGTGCCTAAACACAGAATAGCCAAAACAGAGAAAGAATATTAGAGACCAATTTCCCTAAGGAATATTAATATAAAAATTTTAAATAAAATATTAGCAAAGAGATTACAGTAATTTTTCATGAGAATCATACTGTATGACCAGGTGGTATTTTTAACAGGAATGAAGAACTGGTTTAATATTAGGGAAAGTATTAGTATAATTGACCATATCAATAAAAAAAACTAACAAAAATTATATAATTATCTCAATAGATGCTGAAAATACTTTTGTACCCATCCCTATTAAAAAACAAACAAACAAACAAACAAACAAACTGCACAGCATGGGAACAAAGGGAACATTCTTTATAATGAAGCTTTTCCAATAAGATCAGGGTTGAAATAAGGACGCCCATTATCCCCATTATTGTTCAGTATTGTACTAGAAATGTTAGCTTTAGCAATAAGAGAAGAAAAGGAAATTGGAGGAATTAGAACAGGCAAGGAGGAAACAAAACTATCAACTCTTTGCTGATGATGCAATGGTATACTTAGAGAATGCCAGAGAATCAACTAAAAAACTAATATAAAATTTACAATCTTAGCAAAAGTTGCAGGATATAAAATAAACTTACATAAACAACTTTTCTATATGTTATCAACAAATCTCAGCAGCACGAGAGAGAAAAAGAAATTCCATTTAAAATAAACTTAGACAATAGAAAATATTTGGGAGTCTACCTACCAAGACACACCCAGAAACTATATGAACTCAATTATAAAACACTTTGACACAAATAAAATCAGGTGGATTTCAGCAAAACCTGGACAGACATACACGAATTTATGCAAAGTGAAGTGAGTAGAAGCAGGAGAACATTGTACACCGTAGCAGAAATGCTGAGTGATGATCAACTATGATAGATTTAGCTCTCCTCAAAAATACATGAATCCAAGAAAATTCCAAAAGACTTGTGATGGGAAAAGCTATCTACAAAGAGAAAGAATTGAGTCTAAATGCAGATCAAAGGATACTATTTTCACTTGCTTTTTGTCCTTTTGTTATTTTTTTCATGCAATTTTCCCCTTTTGTTCTGATTCTTCTTTCACAACATAGATAATGTAGAAATATATTTTATATGATTGCACATGCATAACCTACACGAGATTTTTTTTACCGTCTTGGGGAGGTGGGTGCAGATGGAGGAAGAAAAATTTGGAAATCAGAATCTTATAAAAGTGGATGTAGATAACTATCCTTATGTGTAATTAGAAAAAAATAAATGAAAATAAATGAAGTAGGAAAATAATCTTTTTAATGAACATTTATTAATATTTTACTTTGTGTGATATGCTGTGCTAGGTATTAAATCAGATTCCTAACATGGATAATATAAAATTTTAGAATAACTAATTTTAGAAAAATTGATTTCTTTTGTAATGTTTTGTGTTTTATGCATTTGAAACATCATTCTGAGAACTGGTCAAGAGGCTTTTCAAAAAGGGCACTAAAAGATCTATGACATTTAACTAGTTAAGAACCCCTGAAGTAGGAGAAATATAAAGATAAAAAATCCAACATAGGTGACCTCAAGGTGCCTATTATCCAGTACAGAGAATGACATATATTGAGATAATTATAATCTAAGTGACAATATAGTGAGAACATAAGTTTATAGATCATATCAATCTATCAATTAAAAAGTTTTTGTTAATGCTTATGATGTTCTAAGCATTGGGTTACAAATACAGTGAATAGAACATTCCCTAATTAAAACAGTCTATCATAGCATAGGAAAAAGGCAACAGAGTTAAAATCAAGAGATGAAGGATCCTGGAGAAATCTCTTTTTTCTCAGAGATGAGGAAAGACTTCATGAAAGTGATCACATTTGAGCTGTGTCAGATGTCAAGTAGATATGGGGGTGGGCAACAACTCCTGGCAAAGTGAAGAGCATAGTAACAAGATTAAAAATTACAATGTTTTTATATGTAACTTCCTAACATAAAACATGTTTAATATTATTCTTTATTAAGAATTCAGCCAATACCTGATTTTAAATTTTTTTGCAGAGTTTTGCAGATTTTGACATGACTTGTTTTAAAAAATATGGGAAAACCTGGGGGTGAGTATTCTAAGTAATCTTTCCATTATACCTACACATTTCAATGTTCAGTGAACTATGGCTACTGACTCAAACAATTACGTTTGTGAAGATAGAGATATTGTAGATCTGTTTCATTTCAGGGAATTCTAGTTCAAGCTCATAGCATCATAACAGATGCACCTTGTGTGATATTACCCTTGGCCACAGATTCTGTAAGACCACTTCTTGTTTTAGTTCAGTGCTGTGATAAGGTGAATGTTGAAGAAATAAAGAAACATCGTATAAAGTGGCAACCCTGTAAAGGCCTGCTGAGCAACACAGATACAAAGACAGAACTGAAAAGTGTTTCTGCCCTGATGGAGCTTCCATTCTATTGGACAAATCAACATGTCAAAAGAATAGTAATGAAAAAAGATGATCAGTGAAGTAATGAATATTTCTTTGAGAATTGATTTTACTTCAAAAGACTATTCTTCCACTTTCATTAATTTACTCTTTAGAATCTTATTAATTCTGACACATGAATTTGGACCTAATGAATTTGTGATAATTCATACTTAGAAAGTATCATTCTTAGCGAGTATGAAGAGTTAAACAATAGTAGCATTTTTAGAAAATATTGTGTGATACATGGTTATATATGCAACTGCAAATTACATACCACATGAACAAAACTCACTTTAATTTCCATGAGTAAACAATGATATACTGGTTAACATTAGTGTAGCACCTGATACCCTGTCAGTTTGGACCGTCTTATTAGCTACCTTAGATTCTAGAGATTTGGAAAGATGGCCAGAATCCTCTCCAAGTCTTAGCTCTTGAGCACTAACACGAATGTTTTACTTATACTTGTCAGCCGCAGGACACACGGTTCAGTAATAGGGAATATAATTAAATGGCAAAGGAAATTAATCAGCAACAGAAAATAGCCTTTACAAACTTTGAGCTCACTCTCCCACAAATATACTAAAATTCAATGACAAGAAGAGATATTCATCGGAATTATGCCTAAACAACTACACCTTGGTATACAGGTGGTTAGAGCACATGTGTGAAGTGATAAGTATATAGGAAGCACAGGTGGACAAGACATATATAGGGAGACTTCATATCAGCAAAGCTGCATAGCTGCCAGTGTCCTTTATTGATGTTACTGCGCTAATCTATTAGACTTATTCCCTGCCAATCATCTTCAACCAGGTCTTTCCTCCCTGTGTTACATCTTAGTTGCTTTGGACATGAAGATTCTAAATTCTACCTTAAGCTCTCAGGAGGGTAATATATTAATTGGTTCTGGGTAAGCATGCCATGCTAGCATACTTCTTATTTTGTCTTCATAATCATGGTCCTCCATTCTCGTCACTTTAGGTGCAAGGATCTATGATGTTTTATGATGAATACTTTTCCTTATTCTAATCACTCCAATTATTTCCCTGGCCCACACAATCCACTTTTTCACCACCTATTGCTTCTATCCTTCTATTGCTCATCATATCATCTACCAACTTTCCTAAACATCTGCAATTTTTTAAAATCAGCTTGGTTTTTAATTCTTTGGCTTAATAGAAACCCGATCTTCTCTAGAAAGTGCCATATCCCTTAAAATGCTTTCTTCTCTGTCTCCTACTCCCTCCACCCCCTACTCATATGGTTAGAAGATGGAGAAGACATATTCCTTAATCATCACTATTTTTTCCAGATCATTCTTCTTCCATTGTCACCTAAATCATTTCTCCTTTATCTGTTCACCTCCAAGTAGCTTTCCCAATTTTTTTAATGGCATTTGTGCCCATTTTACCAGCTTCTCCTCTTCATTCCCTCTACTCTTGGCTACTAAAGGGTATTTCAGTTGCTAGCTTGGCCATCCAACTCCTCAACCTCTACAGTTCCAAAGAGTTCCTTTTCCCACCTCCAATCAGTATGTTCATACCTTTGAATACTAATCTCACCAATACCAATATCTAGAATTTAAATTCCACAATTCAACCACCAACTTATTTCCTTTTACCTGTCCCACCCACTCCCATTAAACCTAGTAGTCCTCACTCTTATTAGACATCATGGTGCTTGACCCATTCCCATTTTCCTCTTCTGCTTGCTTCCCTTGGGTTTTATTTTCCTCACTGCTTTACTTTGACCCTATTGTTTGCTACATTAATGCTTTCCTATATCCTCTTCTAGTATCCCATAAACTCTTTTCTTCCTGCAATCTCCAAACCCTCATTCTAGGCTGAATTCCAATAACAGATTTCTCTACTTCTATTACAGCACCAAAGCCCAATCATAAAGAAATTGGGTCAGTTTCCCCCAATTCAAATTCAGGGCACATCACCTTCGCTGGGAACCTAGGTGGCACATTAGATAGAGCGTCAGGTTTGGCATCAGGAATACCTGAGTTCAAATTCAACCTAAGATATTTACTAGCTGAGCAAGTCACTCAAACCTGCTGCCCTCAGTTTACTCATTTGTAAGAAGAACTGGAGAAGGAAATGGCAAACCACTGCAGCATATTTGCCAAGAAAACCCCAATATGTCATGAAGATTCGTACATGACTGAAATGATCAAGTAGCGTTAACAATATCATGTTATATTTTTATTTTGTTAAACAATTTCCAATTTCATTTTGATCTGGTAACTAAGACTCTAAAGCTGTTTATAGATCAACTATGAGTTTGAAACCTCCGATCTACAAAGTTTTCTATTTTCATAACTTTTGGATTATATTCAACTCCTTTTTCTCCCTCTTATCTCAGATTCCTTCAGTTTCCAGGAATTTTCAATTCCATCTCTGCAACACCTCTCAAATCCCTTTTATATTCCTACTTCCACAACTAGCAGCACGAGTACAAGTTGTTATTACCACTCATCTACAGTATTGTTGTTGCCTCCTGATTGGATTCTTCCTGCCTCCACTCTCCCTTCTGCTTGGTTCATTAAAATTTAATAATCTCTATAAACTGTTTATTTGCTTTTAACATTCATTTATAAAAACTTTGATTTTGAAATAATCACTCTCCTGGACCCATTAAGAACGAAAGTAACATGACATCAATTATACATGTAAACCATGTAAAACATATACCCATATTAACACGTTCCAAAAAAAAAAAACAAACAAAGCGAGAAAAATGAAGAAAGTGAAAAACAATATGCTTCATCAGTTCTCCTTCTGAGGATGCATGGCATTTTTCATCATGAATGGGTCCTTTGGTATTTTCTTGTATCATCTGGTCCATTTTTAATACAGTTCCCAGAATAACTTTCTAGTGCATAAATCTGTTTATGTACACATTTATGCACTAAAATCCTCCCTACCTCCCTATTGCCTCTGAAGTAAAATTCAAAAAGTACTGCCTCATATTGAAGACTCTTCCTAGCATGTTACCACCTTATCTTCTCAGGCTTATTTCCTATTGGTCCCTTTTATAAACTTTGCTCTTTAGCCAAATCAGATGCCTCCTTGGCTCCCAAACACACTTGCCTATTTCATGCCACTGTGACTGCTCAGGCTATTTGCTGTCATTGAAATACCCTTCTCTCTTCCTTTTCCTACTGAGTGTTTGACCATTCTTTAAAGCTCACCTCAAATGTCACCTCCTCAGTGCAACTTTTTCCTTTTCAAAGTTTTCAAAGTACTTTATACATGTTCTCTTATTTGACCCTCACAACAAACCCCCAAGGTTGATGCTATCATTTTCCTCATTTTGCCAGAGAGGAAACTGAGTTTGAAAGAGGTTACTGACTTGCATAAGGTCACAGAATTAGGAAGTATTTAATGCACCAAGTGTTTAACAAATATTCTCTGATGAATTTTATTTTAGATTCTTGGCTCACTTCTACATCTCTAGTTAGAGCAAATATAATGTAGCAGTGAGGTCATGGCCATCAATTTCTATTTGCAATCTCTGTTAATAACAGTGTAACTTGGTGAGTGAAACAATTTCTTCCTTTTGGGAGTATAGGCTTTTTGATGGCAGACAGCCGGTACTGGCCATCATGGACCCAGAGATTATCAAATCAGTGGCTATTAAAGAATGTTATTCTGTCTTCACCAATCGTCGGGTAAGTGGGAATGGAAGAGTAATGCTGGCAGCAATGAGGAAAGCATGCTGAGCATGTTAAAGGTACCACAGTTTTAAGACCATCTATAAACACTAGCTTCATTATTGACATTCTTGCAGAAGACAGGGGAGGCAAAACACTCTACCTGAAGGCAATGCAGTTTGAGCTGCAGAGGGATGGGAGCTTTTACTGAGTGATTTGAACCCCTATCAACATCTCTTGGTCCCCCAAAACTTGGGGGTGATGATGCCTCCCCAAGAACTAGACTTTCTTATTATGCTGCCCCCAGGGCCGTTATTAAAGGGAAAAGTCACTGTGGAAAATGAGCCTGCTGTCCTCATCTCCACATGCAATAACAGCTGCCTCCAATGGATAGATGGGCACAGGAGACATAGCCCAAAAGGTACCCCAAAGCCTCCTTTTTAACTTTTGGCCTGGCATTCCCAGTCATGATCCTAAGGGGAATATCCTGTGGAGGAGGTACAGGCCATCCCCATCTATTGTCAGAGAATTATCTCACATGTGATAAGGCCAGCCAGAAAACCTGAACCAAATGATGCCATGAGGAAGAGACAGGAGGTGGTATGTGCCAGCCAGGTCAAAATTGGGCTGCCACCACCACTTTCACCATCACTTCATGTCAGATACTGTGGTGGATGCCCTAGGACATGGCACCCAGGACACCTGGGAATAGCACTGCCTTTAGCCTAGTACTCCCAGCCATTGTTGTGGGAAGCAACGTGTGCCATGGTGCAGCCTGGAAACTAATACTTCAGATACACCTGTCACAAGTTTCAAGGATTCAGAAAAGAAAATTCTTGTTACCAAAGTCCATGGGCTATAAAGAGTCATATAACAAATTATAGACATTTAGAAAGAATTAGTTTTTATACTGGAAAGTGTAATGGACCTCTAGTTCTGGTTCTACCAATTAACATCTGAATGGTGCTGTCTTTTACCCTTTTCTCCTAGAATATAGGTCCAGCAGGGATTATGGAGAATGCTGTCGCAATTGCTAAAGATGACCATTGGAAGAGGATTCGAACAGTATTGTCTCCAACATTTACAAGTGGAAGACTCAAGGAGGTAAAACAATTGATACTGGACAGACTCTAGAAAACTGAGTGTAGTTGAGAGGAAAAAAAACCCCACAACATTCTGATGATTTCCTCCAGTGAAAGTCTAATAGGCTCACAAGTTTAAATTTCCTATAAGGGAATATTTTGTTTCCTATTTTTTGTGAAACAATGGAGGGAACACTGTCTCCGGAATTAAGAGAACCTGATCTCTAATCTCACCTCTGATGTCTATTGCCTGAGTGACCACTGACTGGCAAGTCACTTAAGCATTCTGGTTGCAGTTTCCTCTTCTTTAAAATGAAGTGGTTTGACTGCACGACCTTCTACAGATGTACGATTCTTTACATTCTAAAAGAGAAATTAATTTATGAAATATTATTATGCTTCTTCGGGGCTGGGAAGTCTGGTTTGTTTTGGAATTGGGTTTTCCACATGTAACTATTGTCATTTGGCATTTAGATGTTTCCCATCATTGAGGAATATGGAGATGTGTTAGTGAAGAACATGTGGAAGGAAGTAGAGAAAAGAAAGCCTGTAACTCTGAAACAGTAAGTATGGGGTAATAGCTGTAACAATCTGAGGAGCAGCAGGAAACCTGTTTGCATAAGCCTCTCTGCTGCCATCTTTCCTCAGAAACTGATGCACCCACTTTGAGAGTTATTCTCTTGACTTTTTAATTGACAAAACAAGTGTAAAAGGACAATATGGTGAGATCTTCCCTTGTGAGGCTAAATACCTTGAGATGACTCTACTTTGGTTCCTTTTTTCTTGATCTTTTTGTATTCTAAACTTTCTGTAGTCTGGCTTCCAAATTTAACATTCTACTAAGCCATTAAAAATTTTATTTTACAAAATGTCTCCAAAATTACTAATGATTTTTTTACATTTATGAAAACATTTAAAACTCTCAACCTGTTGCTTAATCTCTTCTGGAAATTGTATTTGAATTTGTGCCCAAGTTGTGTTTTCCTTTGAGGCTTTGCTTGTAGAGTGTTTTGGAGCTATTTTCTTCTGAGTTTGGGTTTTGACTGTCAATAGCTTTTTATTACGGGACTCTTTTTGTTTGTGTATTCATTTTTTCATCTTCCTGACCTTAGACTTTATGTTAGGTCTAGGTTCAACTATACACTTCTGGAGGAAATACCTGGGTTGTTTCTGTTGTAGCTTTCTTGGGTTATTGGTTGTTTCGTTATTCCATGCTCCAAAGGAGATCTCAGTCTGGCACTTACAAACTTTTGATGCCCTAATTAGTCTTATCAGGGGCAAAGTCTGATCAGCTCTTTCTCTTTTCCCAAAGACCAAGTGAGGTCTGAGCTTTGTAGGTTCCTAACCTATGGTTGGCACTATCATCCACTGGGAAGACTCTCCTGGTTCGCAGTAGTGGAACTGTAGGCTTTCCTCCAAGTCTGAGACTCCTTTCATTGTTATTCCTCAGTGGGCTTCAGATTCGTCTAAAAACGAGAGTGGAAGACAAACTCTTTTCCTGTTGTGAGAGGCACATTGTTGTTGCTTGCTTCTGAATTTCCCCCTTGCTTGACAGGGTCTATGACTCATTCTCACATCTAGGTCCTGGTCCTTTCCATAGTAGACAGTGCATCTGTGACCCAAAAAGGTGTAGGAATTGACACCCTGCCAGTTGGCACCTGTTCTTGTACCCTACCTGGGTTCCCAGTGTCCCAGTATTTGTTCAGAACCTTTTATTTCCCATGGGCAATATCTTCAGTTGCTGGAATGTTGCACAGGGCTAATTTCTGGCCAGTATTTAAAGATGTTTACACATCCCCCTATGCCGACCTGCTCAGGACAAATGACTTATTGTTTTTTTCTCCTTGGAGTTCTCAATCATTAGCCAGTCTGATCTATTTTCTAGAATAATATTAGAATGGAGGGAGATTTCTGTTCTTCCTGCTTCTTTTCCACATTAACTCCATCTCTATTACAGCTCTCTTAATTTTCAAATCAATGACTTCTTGTGGATCTTAATCCCTGTTGACTCCATTGTAGCATCTGACGCTGTTGACCACCTTCTCTTTCTGGATGCTCTCTATTCTCTATGTTTTGTGTATTCTGCTGTGTTTTGGTCCTCCTCCTGCCTGTCTGACCAATATTTCTTTTAACTCTTTTGCTGAATGTCCATTCATGGAATACCTACTAATTGTGGCTTAGTCAGTCATGAATAATTATTAATAATTAATAATAACTTATTAAGAAAAAAATTTAAACAAGATACCAAATTTAAAATAACTCTCCACAGTAAACGCTTGGGATTACAACTGTTAAAACAAACCTAGGAACTATATAACCAAAATTTTAAAAAATAATTTTTATACAAACCTAATCAGATTTAAATAATTGGAGAAATATTAACTGTTCATGGGGTAGCAGGGCCAACAAAATAAAAATGACAATTTTACCTAAAGTAATTTATATATTCCACGCCATTCCAATAAAACTTCTTAAAAACATTTTAGTGAATTAGAAAAAAAATAACAAAATTCATTTGGGAGAACAAAAACCAAAGAATATCAAAGGAACCAATGAAAAATATGAAAAGAAAGGAGATTTAGCAGATTTTAAACCATTTTAGAAGGTAATAATTATCAAAACTTTCTCTTACCAGTTCTGATATAGAAAGTAGATCAGATCAGTGGAACAGAGCAGACCTTCAATTTACAGCTGCAAATGAATATGGTAACTTTGTATTTTACAAATACAAAACTCAAGTTTTTGGGATAAGAACTCATTATTTGGTAAAAATTGGAGGAAAAACTGGAAAGCAGTATGACAGAAACTGGGCATAGACCAACATCTTACATCAATTACCAAGATAAGTTCAAAATGGATATGTGATCTAAATATGGAGATATTATAAGAAAACTTGAAGAACTTGGAACATATTACTTTTAAGACTTATGGATAGGTAAACAATTAATGAATAAGCAAGAGATAGAGAGCAGGGTGAGGTGTAAAAAGGATAATTTCAATTACATTAAATTTAAAAAAGGTTTTGTACAAATAAAACAAATACAGCCCAAATCAGAAGGAAAGCTGAAATTCAGGAAAAAATTCTAATAAATAGTTTATCAGATAAAAGTCTGAAGCATATAAATAACATTGTGAAATCTATAAAAATGTGAATCATTCCTCAATTAATAACCAGTCAAAAGATATGAAGAAGTTTTCTGATGAAATCAAACAATTCGTAGTCATGTAAAAATTCTCTAAATCATCATTTTTTAGTGTCTTCCTTAAATTAAGTTTTATTTAAATTATAACTATCCTCAATTCCTTCACTAGACCTTTGGTTTGAATCACCTCACCACACCAGTCATTGTACACCATTTATCTCCAGTTTATCAATGTCTTTCTCTAAATGTGATGCCCAGAACTTTGGACATAATACTATAGGTATGGTCTGATCAGTGCAGGGCACATCAGGACCATCACCTCTTTCATTCTGGATAATTTGCCTTTCTTCCTTTGTTCTAAGGGCCCATTAAGTTTATAAATTATCATTTATTAGAAAAATGCAAATTAAAACAACTTTGAGATATCATTTTATAGCTATCAGATTGACAAAAATGATTGAAGAGTTTAGTGATACATGTTGAAGAGGATGTGTAAATATTGGGACACTAATTCATCGTTAATGGAATTGTGAACTGATCAATCCATTTTGGAGAACGAACTGGAAGTATGCCAAAAGAGTCAATAAACTATCTATATTCTTTGACCCAGCAATACTGTTACTAGGTCTATTTCCAAAGATGATTAAGGAAAAAAAAAAGAACCTATATGTTCTAAAATGTTTATAAGAGTTCTCTTTGTGATGCAAAGACCTGGAAATTGTGGGGATGTCCATAAATTGGGGAATGGCTGAACAAGTTGTAGTATATGACTGTTACAGAATACTACTGTGCTCTGAGAAATTATGAACTCTATGATCTTAGAAAAACATGAGTAGACTTGCACAAAATAATGAACAGGGAAATGAGCAGAATGAAAATAATTCTGTGTACCATAATAGCAATATTGTCTGAAGAATAAATTTGAATGACTAAGTGATTTTGGCTATTATAAATATCCAAATTAACTACAAAGGACATATGAAGAAGACACTATCTGCATCCCAAGAAAGTATTGATAAATAGAAGTATTATTTTAAATGCCCTGACACACACACACACACACACACACACACACACACACAACTGTGAATAATGGTAGCCATCTCTAGTTTGGGGGATAATGGAAATTGTAAGAAAAAAATAAATTTACAAGATTACTCATTATATATTTGAAAGTTATAGCAAGTTGTACATAATAGATTTGCACTTTCATATGCAAGCATTATTTTTCTCATATCATATTATGGGAATTCTTTTTTCATTTCATAAAAATTAAATAAAAATTAAAAAAAATAAAAACATGATGATAAGAGTGGTAGTGTAGCTAATATTAAGAAAACAGGAGAATATGTGGTCAAAGGTATAACTTCTATTACATTCTTCTATGTGGCCACCTTCTATTTCTTCTGTATTTATCTTCTAGGCAAAGATTTATATATGTATTTATGTATGTATACAATCTCTTCTAATATAAGCTTCTTGAGATTTGAAAATGTTTTTGTATTTTTTTCATATCTCCAGTCCCTAGAATAGTGCCTGGAACATGGTAAGCATTTAGTAAGTGATAGTTTACTAATTTGAAGTAGGGAGCATTCACACTGTGGGGAGGAAAATGTACCCCTGGTAAAATGAGGGAAACCAAACCTTCTCTAACAGCTTAGGAAAAAAAAAAGTGATAGTTCCAATTTGAAATGCTTTGCCTTTTGTCCCATGAATGTCCAAGTTATCATTCATTCATTGCCTCATTCATTCATAAAAAGCTTTTTGGAATTCTATGCAGTTGTAGAAAAGAATCAATGTTTTTTTTTCTAAAAAATCTCATCTAGTGAATGTTACTGACCATTTTCACCTCTGGCCCATATGCCCTGCTGGCTTGAACATAGAGCACAGTTGGCAAACTTAGCCAGATCACATTAAAAAGTAAATTGGGAAATAAGTAATAAAATAAAAAAAGTACAACATATGTAATATTAATATGTGGTTTTCTAATTTCAATATACGGTCCACAGATATTTTTGGAATGGTTTAATGATCCTGGTTTCTATAGAGTTTCACACTATGGGTTTAGAGGCTCACTTAGTGTTATTACTTGGTAATGAAAGATGTGATGCCTATTTTGAGTAATTTTTTGCTTTTTCTCCTCAGCATTTTGGGAGCCTACAGTATGGATGTGATCACCAGTACTTCATTTGGTGTCAATGTTGATTCCTTGAATAACAAGAATGATCCTTTTATCAGAGAAATCAATAAGTTACTTAAAGCATTTTATATTCTGAACCCACTCAAGTTTACAACAAGTAAGTTAGTTCTTCTTTACACAAATGAATAATTAAAAATTCAGTAGTCTGAACTGGTCTGAAGATTCCTGAAGATAACTCAATAAGTTGGATCAAAATAGATTTAGAGATGGACATAAACTTAGAAGCCACTAAGTCTAACCCCTTTGTTTAACAGGGGATTAAACTAATGCATAGAGAAATTACAACACAATCCTGAATATCCAGGAGATTCAATTCTTTAATTGCTATAGGTTAGGGAGGGAGGGCTGTCAGAGAGCAACTGATTAAAATACTCAAGGGAATTATTTACTGATTGGTCAGTCATAGGAATCTTTGCAAATAATCAAGAAGACCAGGGATAGACACAGGACACCTGATTTTGGAGAGCAATGCCCTTCCATTTTGGGGCTTTTTGTTGACCCCCACCAGTTCTCAGACAATTAAAGGCCAAAAAAGGGAAATGAGTAAGCCATGTTACAATTTGTACCTATGGTACCATTTCCCCGTATGCACTCCAAATAAAGGTGATAGCATCTTTCATAAAATTCTCCAGTTTCATAAGGGTTTTTTTTTCTTTTTTCTTTTCCTTAGTACTCTTTCCATTCCTCATTCCTTTGTTTAAAAAATTGGACATAACTTTATTTCCAAAAGAAGCAATAGATTTCTTAGCAAAATCAGTTGAAAAAATAAAGGAAGAACGAAAGAAAAATTCACTGAAGGTAAGTTTCTCCAGTATTCAGAATCAGAATATGTGAAAATTGTAAATTGTTGTATTCTTTATCTTCAGAGTAGAGCAAGCAAAACTTGCGTTCCATTTTCCTTGATGTTCATCTTTGTTCACTATAAGTTTTACTCAATTTTAATTGTCAGATATTTTGAAGACTTACTATAACATGGAGAAATGCCTCTAAGTTCCTTTCCAGCTCTAACTCTATGCCCCTATCATTTAATATTTGCCAGATTTAGTGATCTGTGTTTGCGGGAGTACAAGGAGAGAAAAGACTGTCCTAGGTTTCAAATATTTTACAACCATAAAGATGTGATACAACGCATACCCAATATTATATTGCAAATTAATATATGATGTGTAGCAGCAACCCAAGAAGAAGAAAGTGCCTTTCTCCTTTATTTATACACTGTCAAAACAGGCCTTGTCAACAGCATCAAAGGCTATATAGGAATGGGCACAAAAATTATAATTGTGCCAATAATGATTTCAAATTCTCCACGTATGCTCTTGGCCCAAATTTGGAACATTGTTCATTTTCCCACAAAGTTCATACTCTGAGACCTGTTTCTGGAACAGCAATGACCCTTAATTCTTGAAGGCCAGGCCAGAAAAGAACAACCTATTGTTGAAGTTTGCAAGCTATAAAGTGTTAAAGCATGGGTATATTTTTTCTTTGCATGTTTGCTGACTTCGGACTAATCTAGCTGAGTTTGAAGAGGTATGTCCATTGGCTGATCACTGAGATCTATTTCTTTGCCTATAGAGATCCCAGAAAATCAGCCATGAAGTTATTGTAAGATTTTGATCAGTGATGTCCGCATCACTGATATTATAAACAATTGAAGCATTATCTTTCTATCCTTTCTGTCAGACGTAAGGTAATTCATTTCCTGAAATGCTTAATATTTTCTTTCAGGCTTTTCAGGGTTGCCTTCCTTTCCATATCCCTGGACTGGGGATTGGGACAGAATCTTTTAAAGTTTAGTAGTCTGATTTAAAAGCCCTTATTTCATTCACTAGAGGCTCAGGCTCTTTGACCCTACAGGGTCTTTTGTTGAAATGTCCTGGGTAGAATTCCAATTCTGCCCTTGAGCTGATGCCACAAAGACTCTAACAATTCAGATCTTCACTTGTCAGTCTGCAGTAAGGATATTAATATGCTGTCTTGATAGCTAATTTTTGTGTTCTCAAGTGTTTTCTCAGCATTAGTGGTTTCCATTATTTTTCCAGGACCGCGTGGATTTACTTCATCTTATGATGGAATCTCAGACTTCTAACAATTCACAGACACACCCTCACAAAGGTAACTTGGCATGAGGATAGTCACAATTTGGAATCTTGAAGACATTATTTGTGGAAGTATGAAAATATTTCCAATTTGCTTAGATGGTATACTAAATTTCAGTAACAATGACAATGACAACAATGATAATGTTACAGGGTTTTAAGATTTGGAGAGTACTTTATCACTATTACTTCATTTGCTGTGTGTAACAATTGTGTCCTTGGTGTTATTTTTATTTCTGTTTCAGAGATGAGGAATCTAAGGATGAGGGAGTTTAACCAACTTCCAGAGGATCATAAAACTTTGAAGTAGGATTTCAATTGAGATGTGACTTACCTTTAAGTCCAAGGCTCTGTAGTATCACCTAGCCATCTCAGAGAGATGCTTGACATCTTTAGGATGAGTTAGATGGAGATAATTTTCAAAAGAATATTTGAATTCATGATGGTCACGTTAGTATGAAGCTTGGATGGTGACATAAGAATTCCTTTTTTGTGTATACCTAGGACAACAATGAGGCTTAGTGAGGTGGGAAAATGAGCTTTTTCAAGAAATAAAATTAGTTCTCTTATTCTAACTGTGCTACTAAGTACTTATGTGACTCTGGGTACTTCCTTTCACTTGTCAGGACTAGCTTGCCCTAGATAAAAGCTGGGCATTGGCCTTGATGATTGTTCAGTTCTCTTCTAGCTCTAGATCCTATAATTCTACTCTATTCTCTGGCCTAGACCATGTTTCTTTGTGCTGAGTTAGTTGGAAAGCTAAGCGGCGTATAGTATAGAGTGCCAGGCCTGCAGTCAGGAAGACATAGTCCTGAGTTCAAATCTGGCCTCAGACATTTACTAGCTGTGTGACCTTGGGCAAGTCACTTAACTGTTTGCCTCAGTTTCATCACCTGTAAAATGAACTGGAGAAGGAAATCCCAAACCACTCCAATATCTTTGTAAGGAAAACCCCAACTGGGTGACAAAGAGTCAGACATGACTGAAACAATTGAACAACAGCAACACAGGAAAGAAAAAAACAGAGTACAAGTTTCTCTGGTAATATAAATCTTGTGGGCAAAGTCTCAAATTGTGCTTCATTGTCACAATTCTTATTTAACCACAAGTAGGATATTGACTCTTCTATGCTGTACCTAAGCATTCTTAACCAGAACTCAGCGTGAGGGAGGCAGCATATTTTAAGGGAAGGGAAAACTGGAGTTGGGAGTCAGAAGGCCAGATTCTAGGCTCAGCTTCAGCCACTTACTAGCTCAGTGACTTTGGAACAGTCATCTTACTGTTCTGAAACACATCCGCCTTATCTGAAGTATGGAGAAAAGCATTCTTGCACTAGATATTTCACAGGCTTATCATGGTGCTCAAACGAAATAATGTAGGTAAAATATAAGCACTAAACACTGTGTATAGAAATGTAATCAATGATTCGGTTACCTTCTGGACACCTTGCCTTCATGGAGCTCATCAGAGATAGGATGCAGTGTGGTACAGGAGGAAGAGTGTGATCTCTGAAGTCTGAGGACCCAGGTTCAAATCCTAACTCTCACCTATGAGACTTTGGGAAAGTCCCTTAACATCTTTCCTCCCTATTTTCTTCACTCCATACATAACCACCCTATCACTTACGCCCTCCACTCTGGACTATTGCTAGAACCTTCTATTACACAGTGTGCTTGAAAGAAGAGAGAGTTCCCTGAAATCAAATGTCACTTTTGTCACATCCAGAAGCAACAGCTGAAGACAAGACAGGTGTGTGGAAGGAATAGAACAGATATAGGAGAAAAAAAGTTGAGCAACCCTGGGTAGACTTAACCTCTATCCTTGTGATGATAGATTTCAGCAGAAGATTCCTGTCATGTCATTGGATACATTTCAGATCTTTTCTAGATATTCTGGAGAGTTAGGTAGATAACTTTCCTAAAATTTTGTGATGTGACTGAATGATTTAACAATGGTGTGGTGACTTTGTCTGAATATTTCCCTTGTCTCTATTTCAGATCTGAGTGATGAGGAAATTCTGGCCCAATCTATTCTTTTTATTTTTGCTGGCTACGAAACGACCAGCTCAGTTCTTTCATTCTTTTTTTACAACCTGGCCACCCACCCTGAGATCCAGCAAAAACTTCAAGAGGAGATAGATGCAGTTTTCCCCAGCAAGGTAAGAGGATGAGAGGAATAGGGATATTTATACAGGTCTCCCAACTTACTTCTAATTCATCCATTTGCCTCATCCCTTAGTAGAACCTTTGCGAAAGTCAATTATGATGATTGTTTGCTCCTTATTGAGCCATGGCAAGGTTTTGAAATGGCAAAGATATGTTGAGATACCATAGTTTTATATGTAATTCTACTTTCAGAGAAGGAAATATCTCAAGAACTAGGGCCAACCCTTGGAAAAATGCTCAAAAAACCCTCTTGTCCATTGTTCTTACAGCCACCTTAGAGCCATTCCTCAATTTACTGGTATTCATTTCTCATCTATTCTGATAGTAGATGACTTTTTGACTTTGGGTTTCCTCTGTACTCCTTACTTACTCTCCCCTTTTCTCCTTTCATATTCTGTTTTCTTGTCCTTTACTATTCCTCCCCTTCCCTGTGCTCCTCTCATCTCTTCCACTGAGATTCTCAGTCACCCTCTGATGTGACTGATAACAGGGATAACTCTCTTTCTGGTGTCAGAAGACAGAAGATCTTACGAATGGACAATGGATTTTTTCCTTAACCAAGGAACCTCTTTTTGATGTACCAGGATCACCTGTGTCCATCCCTCTTGGACCAAATAGGATAATCACCATTGTGGGAACACTTAAATAGTCATTTCCCTATGAAGTTAAGGGATGTCTTTGAGAATATATTAGAATAATCCACTTAAACAATAATGAGTTACCAAGTTAGAGTGGTGGCAGTAGGAAAGATGAGGAGATAAATTAGCAAAAGTGTCTCTTTAGATCTCAATGACCACCTAGCAAACCAAATCTGAGCCCCTATAATGGTGCTGAGTGACTCACCAAAACATCCTCCAAGCCCTAAAATATTCTCTAATCTTTATTGAAGTAAAAAACAGGATGATTTCATCTGAGTTGTTCTTTTAAATGGATAAGTGTCAATGTTATCTGCTGTGAAGGATGCTGGGAAAGCCTCTCTGCCTCCACCCCAAATATCTCTTCTAAATTCTACCAATACAGATGCATCACTTTGATTCTTTTCTGTTGTGAAGACCCTTGAAGGTATAAAATACTAAACTGTTATGAAATAAGACCAGAGTATCCTAACATTGATAGTGAGCTGAGAGTGAGGACTTTAGAGTCTGTATAGTTGATCATTTTTGAAAGGATAAACAGAGATGACAAGAAGTGGAAGCTGCAAAGCAATGAAGACACAGAAGGGCATTTTAAGTTTCAGGTGTTTCTAAAGTAAATTTGACTGAGGTACATTTTGTCTAATATTTCACCCTAGATTTCACGGTTGGCCTGGTTTGTTCCAAGAGACAACCCAGAAGAACAGAAGAAAAATATTCATCTTAGCACAACTTCCTTCTACTGAGGTTCAAGAGTTTTGTCACAGGCTCAAAAGGGCTCATTTTATGAAAAACTTTATATAGATGCAAATCTTACATCGACAGGTCTCAGAATTTTGAGTCACTTCTTTAGCATGTTCAAATAATAATAAATCAATACTAAAAATATACTTGCAGCTTTCATCCAGAAGGTATTACTGGAATATCTGGTGACCAGAAGTACAATGGAGTTAATAAACTCATTCTAAAAGCAACTGAGCAAGGGTAGATGTGATATGTCACCTTAGTACTTAGAACTTAGTACTTAGAACTCATTCTTCTCTTCACAGGAAGCAGTCACATATGATGCCCTGGTACAGATGGAGTACCTAGACATGGTGATACATGAAAATCTCAGGTTATTCCCCATAACTTCCAGGATTGAAAGAGTTGCTAAGAAAACTGTTGAGCTCAATGGACTGAGGATTCCCAAAGGCACAGTGGTGATGACCCCATCCTTTGCCCTTCATCGTGACCCAGAATATTGGCCAGAGCCAGAGGAGTTCCGCCCTGAAAGGTAAACACATTTTTTTAAATAAGGGAAAAAGCTACTCAGCATCGTCAGGTTGGAGAGAACATAGAGCTGGGAGACAGGATGAGGGTTTGGTTCCTGATTTTGTGTCTTGTTTAGATTGATGATGCTGGGTCTGTAACTTAAACTCTCACGACAACACTGCATGATACCTACAGCAGCTATTTCGGTAGCTTGGATATAGCCACTTTAGGCATTCTTGTCGCTATAGATGAAGGAATTGAAGCTTATATACATTAAATGACTTGACATTATACCTATAGCTAAGAAGTGTTAGAAGTGGGCTTTGAATACTGATCTTTGTTAGAGTATCCAAGCTGAAAAATGAGGGTTTAAACTGTATGCCAACTGAAATCCCTTTCATCTTTAAATCCTCTAAACTTTGACTATTTAAATTAATTATTTCATAGGTTGTCTATTCCAGAGTCAACACGAACATGTGTAATTATTTTCATGAATCACTCATTTGTAGATGTTTTTAAGCCCTTAGCAGTAACTAAATTTTTAGGGCATATCAGACAGAGGGCATCATGCTACATTCATAGTCTGGAAAATCTGAATTCAAAGCCCACCTCTGATACCACTTAGTTATATGGCTAAGGTATTATGTAGAATGATCCCATTCTACATAATGATTCTTCCAAACATTTTCATTCCTCCTGGAACCTCCCTATGTCCCCCTCTTTCCACTCTCTCTACTGAGAACCTTCTTTCATATTTTACCAGAAAAAAAATGAGTCTATGCACAATGAATTCCTTCTTTTCCTTTCTTCCTCATCTCTCATTACTATGATGCCTTCTGCTACTAGCCCCTCCATTACACCTGAATTACATGATGAAGTAACCTCATTCCTTACCAAGGCTAATTCTTCTACTTGTACAAGTGATTCCATCTCTTCTAATAGATTGCCGCATCTGTCATCCCCACTGTTATACTTGTTTTCAATCTGTCCCTGTCCACTGACTTCTTTCCTACTGCCTGCAAACATGCCCTTGTGTCTTCTATTCTGAGTAAACCCAGCCTCGACCCCTCCCTGCTATTATCCTATATCTCCTCCATCCTTTGTAGCTAAACCTCCTCAAAAATTTTACAATACAATGAAAAGGTACAAAGGTTACCTACAATAGGTGCCTCTACCTTCCATTTACCTTCTTCATCTTTGGACTTTAAAGAATGATTTAAAGTCTTTTGTTCTTTTTTTCTTGTTGTTCAGTCCTGTCTGACTCTTCATCATCCCATTTGAGATACCAGAATGATTCACCATTTACTTCCCCAGTTCATTTTACAGATGAGAAAACAGAGGCAAATATGGTTAAATGACTTGTCCAGGGTCACACAGCTAGTAAGTTTTTAAGTCAGATTTTAATTCAGGCCTTCTGACTCCAGGCCTACCTTCCTATCTACTCTGCCGCCCAACAGTGGAAAAAGTGAAATACCATTGCAATAAGAGATCAACCGTTTCATTCCTTACATTTCTTAGTATTTAAAAGTTAAGCATTTCTAAAACCTAAATAATATTGATATTAGGATAGATTGTTGAGATTCTGTTCAAATTTCTGCCTTTCAAGCCTAGTTTGGGATTTTTTAAAAATGACAAGTAACAAATAGAGCTTCATGATGGGAAGAAATTGTTCTGAAGACAGACAAGTGGTGCTTTAGATATTCTTACTTTGTTCTTAAGGCAAATCTCCTGATGTCTGCTTTTTTGTCTCCTTTTTTATTTTTTACATTGATTTTTAAAATTTTGATTTCCAAATTTTCTCCTTCCCTCTGGCCTCTTCCCTACCTATTGAGAAGTCAAGCAATATGAATCAATTTTGCCTGTGAAGTCATGAAAAACAGATTTCCATCTTAGACTTGTGTTAAAAAGCAAGAAAAATAAAGTGAGAACAATGTGCTTCAGTGTGCATTCAGAGTTTATAATTTCTTTGGAATTGGATAGCAGTTTTCTGGAGATTGATAGCATTTTTCATCATGATAATGTTGTAATTAATCTTGCATCATTTTATCAAGGAGAGTAGCTAAGTCTTTCACAATTGATCATTACTACAATTTTCCAGTTACTGTGCAAATCATACTTCTTTTTGCATCAGTTCATATAAGTATTTCTAAGTGTTTCTAAAACCATCCCTTTTATCTTTTCTTATACTACAATAGTATTTTATCACAGTCACACCACAATTTGTCCAGGCATTTCCCCTTTGATAGATGTTCTTTCCATCTGATTTTTTTTTTTGCCACCAAAAAAGGGCTCCTATAAATATTTTTGTACATAAGGTTTTTCGCTATTCTTTGATCTCTTTGGGATACAGATAAATAGTGATATTGCAGGTCAAAGGGTTTACAGTTTTATTGCCCTTTGTGCATAATTCAGATATATTCTCCAGGATAGTTGGACCTGTTCACAACTTCACCAATAATATTCTAATGTGTCTTTTTTATTCACACTGCCTCCAGCTATTGTCTTTTTTTCCCTATCAAATTAATCTGATAGAATTGAGGTGGTACTACAGAGACGTTATAGTTTGAATTTCTCTATTCAATAGTGATCTAGGGTATGTTTTCATGTGACTATTGATAGCTTTGATTTCTTTTTCTGAAAATTGCCTCTTCGTATCCTTTGGCCTTTTGTCAATAGGGTATGGCTCTTATTTTTATGAATTTGGCTCAATTCCTTATATATCTAAGAAATGAGACCTGATTTATCAGAGGTCCCCAACCTCTGTTTTCTGCTTTCCTTCAAATTTTGTCTGAATTGTTGGTTTGTGCAAAAACTTAAATTTCATGTAATGCAAATTATCTATTTTACTTCCTGGGATTGTCTCTGTCTCTTGTTTGGTCATAAAACCTTTCTTTATTCATGTCTGAAAGGTGATTTTTTTCTACCTAATTTGCTTATGATAGCACCATTTATGCTTAAATTATGTAAACAGCTTTTCTTTATCTGTCTATCCAGTGTGAGATGTTTATGTATGCCTAGTTTCTGCCAGATTGATTTGTAGTTTTCTCTGAAGTTTTTTTTTTCTTAATAGTGATTTTTGCCTCCAAAGCTTGGATCTTAGGGTTTATCAAACGCTGGATTACTGTCATTTATTTACGTATATTGTTCACCTAATCTATTTTGCGAATCAGCTATCAAACATACAGTACCAAAATGTTTTGATGATTACTGTTTAGTAGTATAGTTTAAAGCTGTTATCACTATGCTTTCTTCCTTCATTTTTTTCCAAGGATTCCCTTGACATTTTTGTACTTTTGTTTTTCCAGATCAATTTTCTTCTTTGCTCCTTTGGTGCTAAAAAATAATCTTTTAGTAGTTTGATTCATATGTCACTAAATAAATTCATTTTGGTAGAATTATCATTTTTATTATATTGGTTTCCTTATTCTGGAGCAATTAATATCTCTTGAATTGCTTAGAGCTACCTTTATTTGTGTGAAAAGTCTTGTAATTATGTTTCTGCAGTTCCTGTGTGTTTCTTAGCAAGTAAACTTCCAAATATTTTGTATGTTCTATGGTCATTTTAAGTGAAAGTTCTATTTCTATCTCTTCTTGAATGCTGATGATTTATGTGGATTTGTTTTATGTCCTGCCAGTTTACTAATACTGTTAATTGTTTTGATTAGATTTTGTTAGTTGATTCTCTAGGTTTCTCCAAGTATACCATCTAATCATCTTCAAAGAGGGTTAGTTTTTCCCCCCTCATGGCTTATGCCAATTGCTTCAATGTCTTTTTCTTTTCTACTGTTATAGTTAACATTGTAGTACAATAGTGAGTGATAACTGACATCCTTGTTTCACCTCGATCTCATTGGGAAGACTTCTAGTCTATTCCCACACAGATGACGCTTGCTGTTGGTTTTGGTTAGGTACTATATATCATTTTAAGACAAGCTCCGTTTATTCTTATGCTTTCTAGCTTTTTTTTAAAAATAGGAATAGGTGGTATATTTTGTCACAAGTCTTGTCTGAATCTGTTGATATAACCATATTAATTTTTTTTTGTAATTTATATGATCACTTATAATTTTCCTAATATTTAACCAACCCTAATTGCTGTTATAAGTCCTACCTGGTAATAAAAATCTTTGTGCTATATTATGGCAGTCTTCTTCTTAGTATTTAAAAATTTTGCCCCAATATTCATTAGAGAAATTTATCAATAGTTTTCTTTCTCTGTTTTTGCTCTTCTTGGTTTAGGTATCAAGGCTATATTTGTGTCACAGAAAGAATTTCACAGAATTGGTTCTTTAGTGATTTTTTCACGTACTTTATAGAGTATTAGAATTAATTGTTCTTTGAATGTTTGCTGGAATTCACTTGCAAAACTATGTAGTCATATGGATTTTATCTTAGGGAGCTCATGTATGGCTTGGTAAATTTCTTTTTCTAAGTTAGAGTCATTAAGTATTTTATTTCCTTTTCTGTTAATCCGGTGCAGTATGCATTTTTATATATGTAAATGCTCATGCAATTCATGTAGATTGTCAGTCTTATTTGCATATAATTGGGAAAAACAGCTTCTAAGGATTGCTTTAATTTCATCTTCATTCATAGTATATTCATCATTTTAATTTTTAATACTGGTAATTTGGCTTTCTTGCTTTTTTATAAAAACTAAAATAAGCAATGATATATCTATTTTATTGCTTTTTTCCCCACCAACCAGATATCCATTTATTTTTTTAATTTAATTTACAATTTTTTCAAATCTCTTTTTTGATTTTTAGGATATTATTTTGATGTTTAAATAAATATTTTGATTTATTTTTTTCTAGTTTTCTTTTTTACTTTTATGCCCAATTTGTTGATCTGCAATTTCCCTCATTTATTGATCTAAAGCTTTAGGGATATAAAAATTATTCTACATATTACTTCGGCTTCATGCCATCAATTTTGAATGTTGTCTCATTGTTGCCATTATCTTTAATGGAATTTTTAAATTATTTCCTTGATTTGTTCTCTCAGTCATGCATTCTAGAAGATTATTTCATTTTCAATTGATCTGTAATCAATACTTCAAAAGCTCTTTATTGAATTTAATTGTTTTCATTATGATCCAAAAAGACTGCATCCAATATGTTTACTTTTCTGGATTTGTTTGTGGGGATATTGTGCCCTAATACATGGTCAATTTTTGTGAAGGTGCCATGTAGAACTGTTGAAAAAAAAGCATTTTCCTTCCATTTCTCATTCAGTTTTCTGCAAAGTTCTTTCATATATAGCTTTTCAAAAATTCTATTCATCTGTTTAACTCATTTGCTGTGAGTTTGGGGGGAGGGAGAGGTAAATTGGATAACCCCAAAAGTTTAGTTCTCTCCTCATTTAATTTTTCTTTTAAGAATTTGAATGTGCTTCTATTTAATGTATCTGTGATTAGTATTAATGTTGTTTCATAGTCTATGATAACTTTTAGCAAATGTAGTATCCCTGATGATCTCTTTTAATTATGTCTTTTGAAAGTTTTCCTTTTTTCTGATATCACGTTTGCAACTCTCCCTATTTTACTTTACTTGAAGTACAATAGATTTGGTGTTTGTATGGTATATCTTAAGTTATTTATTTTAAGGAATATATTTTTCCCTTTATGTATCCCTGGCACACAGCAGGCTCTAAGTAAATGTTTGTTGATTGATTGATTGATTGGTGTGTCTCTTAAAGAGTCAGATTCATCGTTCTTCTGGCAAGTCTTGGCTCTTCCTTTTTTCACGTATCTCTTTTCTCTTGCCATTTTGAAAAACCAGGTTCAGCAAGGGAAACAAAGACAACATGAACCCCTATGTGTACCTGCCCTTTGGTGCTGGTCCTCGAAACTGCATTGGGATGAGATTTGCACTTATGAGTATGAAAGTTGCAATTTGCCGACTTCTGCAGGAATTTTCCTTTAGAACTTGTAAGGAGACACAGGTGAGGGGAGTCACAACATTTATTTCAATACCTAGGATGGTGTTTTATTGAATTGATTTTATTTTCAAAGTAGAGAAATGGCTTATACTGTGTGGAAAAATATAATTCCACAGAATTTGGCTATTTATTTTGGCAGGCTATTAAAGAGTTAAAACTTGCCATTATTAAAATGGAAATATACCGAAGGCCAAGAGAAAAATAATTAACGTGTTGTTGGCTACATAATTATTTTGATTTAACTATAACAATAACATCAATACAAAATTCTTGGTTGCAAACAACACAATTTTTGAAGACTGATGTACAGCAGCCCCTTTTAAAATTTGATTTATGAGAAAAAATGCAATGTTAAAGGTGATGGGAATGAATAAAATCTCCTAATTTAAGCAAGATTCTTATTTGTCTTACAAGAGACTAGTAGTAATAAATTTTGAGTATGTAGTTAATACATATTTTATATTTTGTGACAGTCTCTGCAGTCAAACCTATGTAGGGTCTCTACTACAATCATATCAATCTAACACTCCTTCACATGACCTTCTAGCTAGTTTGTGTTCATCTGTTTAATATTTTTTCCATAATATGCCATAAACATTTGTGACTGCTTATTTTTCACTCTTTGTTTGCTACTGGTCACTTATTGAACTCTAATTGTTTTTCTTAATTGTTGTAGATTCCTCTGAAGCTGGGCAAGGGGTCATTTGTTTCACCATCTGTACCCATTGTCCTTCAGGCTGTACCAAGGACCAAAAAGGCAAACCAACACTAGAAACTCTCCTCATCCTATCCATTTCTATCTACTCCTGATTTTTCTTCTATCAACCAAAGACACTGAATCCTTGGATTTCAAAAGTAACTTAATTTACCTTATGAACTAAACAAAGAAAAATAAATGAATTTTTTTTTTGGCACCGGAGAGGAGCACTAATATTTTTTGGGTGGTTTTTTTGAGATCTCCATGTTTGAGGACTACTGTATAATGTTCAATGGTGTCGTGTCACATGCATTGGTCCAGTGGATTATGTTTCATAAGAAATGACCCCCGGCTGGGATTCTGAAAATCTAGCCACTGCTTAGTTCTTATAACCTAGCCACTTCTTAGATTCTTATAATCTAGCCATAGCTCGATTCTTAAAATCTAGCAACTGGTCAGATTCTTATAATCTAGCCAATAGCTTACTAATATTCAGAGTCCTTAAGAGTCTGTCCAATATGATGGATATGACAGATATTCTAATAAACCTTGCCTTTGGATGAAAAAAAAACCCCCAAAAAACCCCACAAAAGAAATGACCCCCAACAGATTACTGCCACTTGATATTATTAGACTCCAGTGGTTCAATGCATGAACATAGAGAAAACCATGAAGTGAGGATCCCTTTATTATTTTTGTGGACAGTATTCCTTGACAATTACAATTAGAGTGAATGTAGTAATCTTGTGGGATCATATTACTTATTTTTAATATTCTGCATTTGACTGAATCATACTATATTTTACTTTCTGTTTTTTTCATTTTTTTTCTTAGGGTCTATATCTTCTATCATAACATGAATACTATTGAAATATATTTTGTGTGATTGAACAATACAACTTATATAAATTACTTCCTGTCTTTAGGAGGGGGGAGGTGAGGAAGAAATGTGTAATCTAAAATTAAAAAAAAATTAATGTTAAAAATTGCCTTTACATGTAACTGGGAAAAATAAAATATCATTTCTTTACTATGCTGCATTGGACTACTATGCTGCTACAAACCACAAAAGACATCTCTGGAAAGCTCTTATCTAGTATTCCTTTAAATCATATCATTATCATTTAGTTGGATGGGTAGTGTGTTGGTTTTGATTATCTTATTTTTTTTATTTTTGCCAATTAAGTGATCTGAATGTTCATAAAAAGTCCAGTTTAACCATTCATAGTTTGGTAAGTGGCCAAATAGTTCAGTTAGTTTTCCCCCTTCTTTTTTGTTCCTTCCACAAACATTTAAATGTAAACACTGACAAAAAGCTTGGGCTTACTTGGGATCAAGTTCAGTCTTAGGGATTCCTTAGAAGTCATCCTCTTTTGGTCATCTCTCCATTCAGGGTTTCACCTAAGAACATCAGCATTTGTTTTCTTTCTTATTCTCTATGCAAGTAGTAAAAGGATCTTCAGTTTCCACCTGAATATTTATGATAACAATTTACAAAATAGAGAGTAGCCTTTCTTTCAAGTGACAAAAACCGTTAAAGAAAGTATTTATACCTAACCTTGTAAACAGTCAAACCAACTCTCCTTACATATCTATTTGGCCGCTATTTTACCCAAGGATGCCATGTGGTTGAGATAGAAATCAAAACAAGAAAATATTTGGAGCCATTATAAAGCCAACCCCTATGAAAATTTGCACTTCTTTACACAGTACTTTTGTCCAAGGAATTCTGTTATTTTAAATCTCTTTCCATTCCCCACCACACCCCCAATAAATTTTAAGTCCTTAGCTTATTTAATATTAGGTCTTGAATGTTCGAAAGAAAAGTCAATGACAGAGTATTGATGGAAAGATTAGATGTTCTAGCTAGAACATTCTAAGATGTTTGATTCTTTTTTCAACATCTCCAATCGGTAATCAATTTTTCTTTTGTAGTGTTTCTTGTATTGGTTTAATCATTGCCATTCTATTTGACCAACCTAGTGTAAAACTACATTCATTATATCATCTCTGCACTGCTGCAGTACTGGAATAAGTTTGTAACTGGTATTCCACCCCTGAATCTCATGCTACATGAGTGCATCTCTATACCAGAGTATTCTTCCTAAAATGTTACTTGCAAATGCTATTGTCCTACTGAAATTTTTCATTTTTTTTCGTTGTTCACAGGATTAAACAAAAATTCTTGCTATCTCATGTACACTATCACTAAAAATAACCACAACCATATTTTCCCAAAGTGAATTTTAACATGGTGCAAAGGTGAAATCATTTTGAGCAGCTAGGTTGTATAGTGAAAAGGGTACTTGGCTTAGAATCAGGAAGACTCATCTTCATGAGTTCAAATCTGGACTGACATTTACTAGCTATGTGACCCTAGGCAAATCACTTAATGCTGTTTGCCAGTAAATTGGGCTGGCCAGGATATGTCAAACCATTCCAATACCTTCACCAAGAAAAGCCCAAATGGGGTCAAGAAGAGTTGGACACAACTCTAAGAGCTCAATAACAACAAAAAACATGAAATTTATGCTACTGTCAAATATATGGACCCATATGATTTGTGACCATTGGTAAGTTATTATAACTCTCTTGCCTCAATTTTATTTTTTCTTAGAAAATGGCGAGAATACTTGTTTTATTCTAACTTTTAAGGTTATTATGAGGAAAGCACCTTTAAGACTTAAAGTGCTAAATAAATATGAGCTGTTACCATGAACATAATAAAATATTCTCCACCTCCATAGAGTACTGAACAAAATAAAAAGCATATATATCTATATCTATCTATCTATCTATCTATCTATCTATCTATCTATCTATCTATATATTATCCTTTGAGATCCCTTTCTTTATTTCTAGATTTACCACAAGCTCATTCTTCTACCAATTGGGAATGATCATCCATTGTTTCTTTTTCTTTTTACCTACTCATTTTATTAATTTATTTATTTTAGTTTTCAACAATCACTTCTACAAGAATTTGAGTTCCAAATTTTCTCTCCATCTCTCCCCTACCTCCACACCAAGATGCAGGCATTCTGAATACCACTTCCTCTAATTTGCCCTCCCTTCTATCACTCCCCCCCCCTTCTTTTAATCCCTTCCTTTTCTATTTTTCTAGAGGGCGGGATAGATTTCTGTACCCCATTGCCTGTAAATCTTATTTCACAGTTGCATGTAAAAAAATTTTTAAACATTTGTTTTTAAAACTTTGGGTTCCAAAATCTCTCCTTTCTTCCCTCCCCACTCACCCTCATTGAGAAGGCAATCAACTTGATACAGGTTATATATGTATAGTCATACAAAACACTTCCACAATAGTCATGTTGTGAAAAACTAACTTCATCTTATACCTTCATCTTATACCACTCCTCATTTGTTCTATTCTTTCCTTTGACCTCCTCAGAAGTGTTTGCTTCTGATTACCCCCTCCCTGAATCTGTCCTCCGTTTTATCATCCTCCTCTTTCTTATCCCTTTCTCACCTATTTTCCTGTAGGGTAAGATAGATTTTCATACCCAGTTGAGTGTTGTATGGTATTCGCTTCTTAAGCTAAATCTGATGAGAATAAGATTCACTCATTCTCTCTCATCTTCTACCACTTCTCCATTGTAAAAGCTTTATCTTGTCTGTTTTATGTGAGATAATTTACCCCATTCTAGCTCTCCCCTTCTTCTCTCAGTATAACCCTCTCTCACCCCTTAATTTTATTTTTTAGATATCATCCCTTCATCTTCAACCCACCCTAGGCCCTCTGTCTACACACACACACACACACACACACACACACACACACACACACACACACACACATATATATGTTGGAAGGAAAAAATATATATATATATATATTTCCCCTCCAACTACTCTAATGCTGAGAAAGCTCTCATGAGTTACCAGTATCATCTTTCCATGTAGGAATGTGAATAGTTCAACTTTAGTAAGTCCCTTATAATTTCTTTTTCCTGTTTACCTTTTCATGCTTCTCTTGAGTCTTGTATTTGAAAGTTGAATTTTCTATTCAGCACTGGTCATTTCATCAAGAATTCTTGAAAGTTCGGTATTTCACTGAATGTCCATTTTTCCCCCTGAAGGATCATACTCAGTTTTTCTGGGTAGGTGATTCTTGGTTTTATTCCTATCTTGTTTGACCTCCAGAATATCATATTCCAAGCCCTCTGGTCCATTAATGTAGAAGCTGCTAAACCTTGTGTTATCCTGATTGGGTTTATATAATACTTGAATTGTTTCTTTCTGGCTGCTTGCAATATTTTCTCCCCAACCTGAGAACTCTGGAATTTGCCTGTCATAATTCTAGGAGTTTTCCTTTGGGGATCTCTTTCAGGAGGTGACTGTTAGATTCTTTCAATTTCTGTTTTATCCTCTGGTTCTAAAATATCAGGGCAGTTTTCCTTGATAATTTCTTGAAAGATGATGTCTAGGCTCTTTTTTTTTTTGATCATGGCTTTTAGGTAGTCTAATAATTTTTAAATGATCTCTCCTGGATCTATTTTCCAGGTCCATTATTTTTCCAATGTGATATTTAACATTGTCTTCTATTTTTTCATTCTTTTAGTTTTCTTTTATAATTTATTGATTGCTCATAAAATCATTAGCTTACATTTGCTCCATTCTAATGTTTAAGGAAATATTTTCTTCAGTGAGCTTTTGGACTTCCTTTTCCATTTAGCCAATTCTGCCTTTTAAGGCATTCTTCTCCTCATTGGCTTTTTGGACCTCTTTTGCCATTTGGTTTAGTCTTTTTTTAAAGTGTTATTTTCTTCAGTATTTTTTTGGGTCTTCCTTAGCAAGCTGTTGACTTGTTTTTCATGATTTTCTTGCATTACTCTCATTTCTCTTTTCAGTTTTTCCTCCACTTCTCTTACTTGCTTCTCAAAATCCTTTTTGAGCTTTTCTGTAGTCTGGGACTCATTGATATTTTTCTTGGGGGTTTTGGATGTGGGAGCTTTGACTTTGTTGTCTTCTTCTGGTTGTATGTTTTGATCTTCTTTGTCACCCAAGTAATTTTCTATTGTCTGAGTTTTTAAATTTTTTTTTTTTGCTCACGTTCCCAGGAAATTACCTGACTTTTAAACTCTTTGTTAAGGTAAGTGTCTGTTTCCAATGTGGAGGACGTACTGTCCCAAGCTTCAGAGGTTTTGTGCAGCTTTTTTTCAGAGATGCTTCTAGGGACCTGTAAATTTTAGTTCTTTCAAGGTGGTATGATC